TATCAAGAACTGGAATCAAGAAATTAATTGCAAGAGCATGTGCTAGTTGATGATAAAAACGCCAAACAAATTAGGTTTTCTTGGGCCCAACAATGTCCATGAGACTTATGCACGCCAGAGTTGCAATTTTAAGACAACTCACATTAGTTTTCTAAACCACATGGCTTTGGAATTATGGTGAGATCATGTCAACAAACGACCACCATTTTGATGTTCTTTTCTTTTCTTTTCGTTTTTGTGTAATGATAATGGTGGACTGGTGTCAAGTGTAGCTCCTAACATTTTGTACGACTCACGGGCGGATCCACCCTCAGTGTGGGGTGGTACGGCACCCGCTAGGTTGGTAAATTAGCATTTAAACTAAGTTAAATATTTGATTCTGTCATCCCCAATCACAAACTAGATAAAAGTGTCATGGCTGATATATTTTTTTGAAAACTAATCTCATATGTAAAATTCAAATCCAAATTTATCTTAACCTTGTGTGAGTGTGACTTTTCCTTTTCGTTGTGCTTTTCATTTTCTTTTTCCTAGTCATTTTTCTTTTTGGCTACCTCCCAAATTTCTATTTGTCATTTATAATTTTTTATATTTTTTCTCTAATGATTTTATCAGTGATCTTTAGCAAGAACACTAAAAAAAGAACCTCCAAAATTTTAAAAATCCATAAAATAAGCATTTTTCTTAATCTCAAATCTTTTAGTTTTTTTCCTTTCAAAAAAAAAAAAAATTGGGTCTTGATAAGAATTTTGGATTGAGATCAACTTTAGTTTTTTATAACAAAAATTTAGTTAAAACATAAAAATTTGTGATATTCTATTATTGTTAAATACAATATAAGTCTATTTACTATTAAATTATAATTAATATTTTGCAAGCATTGCCTAGAAAAATATGAGATTTATGATTTTAATTTTTAGGATCTTGTAGTTTATCTAGTTCTGCATTTACTTATGGGGTATAATTTATCTATTGAAGATTTTTTTTTTCTTATTATGATTGGAACATCTTGTGAAAATTTATTTTTGGCATACAAAAAAAGATGTAGTTATCTAATGAAAATATTGATTTTACTTATACTGCTAATAATAAAGGTATGATTCCTTCTTTGAAATGCTAGTTACATTTGCTTCTTGATGTCTGAGATGTAATTTTCATACAACAACGACTAGGTGTGTCAATGCATCTTTAAAAATCGACTAACGTGACCGAACTGAACTGTATCGAATCAATTTTTAGGTTTTCTTTAATAAAATCATAGGTTTTTATATAAAATTATAACCTTACTCATAATTATGGTAGGTTTTTAATTTTACAGAAATGAACCGAAAAAAATATCGAATCGTCCCAAATAATTTTATATAAGAAAAATATGTATATTATATTAAGTTTCAAATAACAAAAAATTGATTTTTTTATTGAGATTATTGAAACGTTTACAAGCCAACAAGGAACTAAAGTCCAAAGTCTTAACTCTCAAACATATTATGCTACTCTTATTGAAACTAAATTAGTTCTAGCTATCATCTTGAGTAGCAGGCCACAGGTAGTCCAGCGATCTTGAGTAACAAATCATAAGTATTAAATATCTTTCCTTTCATATGATTCAGATTTTTCTTATTGTATACTTAATCTTCTAAAGGACTATTCGAGAGTCCAATCTTGATTAACATATTCCAACTTGTGTAATTTATATTTTTATTGTCTTTGCTCGATTTTTCTTATGATGTAGGGGACTAGCTGGATAAATCTCTATTCTGCCTATCTTTCAGATTCTCTTAATTCATCGTCTTTTAAACTATAAAAATGTCTACAAAATTTTGCCAAAGTTCTAAGTAAGTACATCTTCTATCGCGTTCTAACTTCTATTAGCGACACATACATGACATTTAAAGAGATATACCGAACCGTACGATACCAAAGAGAAACCGAGATAATTGGGACGGTTTCGAAAACTCTAATGTTAGTTATACAAAAGAGAATAACCGAAAAATTAGTATGGTACATATGTTATAAAATAACTGGCTGAACCGAACCCTTAACAATAACAACATACCCAGTAAAATTTCATTACTAGAGTCTGGGACAACAATAACAACAATAACAAAAAATCCAGTATGTTCCCAATAGGTGGGGTCTGGGAGGGTAGTCTGTACGCAGACCTTACCCCTACTTAATGCAGGTAGAGAGGCTGTTTCTAATAGAACCTCCGCTCGGAAAGGGTGAGAAGAAGAAGAAGAAGAAGAAGAAGAAGAAGAAGAAGAAGAAGAAGAAGAAGAAGAAGAAGAAGAAGAAGAAGAAGAAGAAGAAGAAGAAGAGCAAGAAAGCAAGAGAGAAGAAAAAGAGGGAGATAAAAGATAAGTAGTACCAAAAAATACCTGAGGCGAACAAAACCACATAACGCAATAAAAATCTAAGAATATGAAGGGACATGCGTGCCACTAAGACTATTGGTGAGCAACTAAGAAACTACACACTAACCTGCTACCCTAATCTTCGACCTCTACACCCTTCTATCAAGGGTCATGTCCTCAGTGAGTTGAAGCAACGATGTGTCCTGTCTAATCACCTCTCCCCAGTACTTCTTAGACCTACCTCGACCTCTTCTCAAACTAGCTATGGCCAGCCTCTCACACCTCCTAACAGGAGCATCAATGCTTCTCCTCTTAACATGTCCGAACCATCTCAGCATCGACTCCCGCATCATGTCCTCCACGGAGGCTACTCCCGTTCTGTCCCGGATAGCTTCATTTTTAATCTTATCTCTCCTAGTACACCTATACATCTATCTCAACATCCTCATCTCTGCTACTTTCATCTTCTGCGCGTGGGAGTTCTTGACTGGCCAACACTCAGCCCCATACAGCATAGTCGGTCGAACCACCACTCTATAAAACTTACCCTTAAGTCTTGGCGGCACATTCTTATCACATAAACACCGAAAGCAAGCCTCCATTTCATCCATCTCGCTCCGATGCGATGTGTGGCATCTTCATCAATCTCCCTATTACCTTGGATAATAGACCCGAGATACTTTTTAAACTAGCTCTCTTGGGGATAATTTGAGCATCAAGCTTTATTTCTACGTCTATCTCATGGATCCCGTCACTGAATTTGCACTTTAAGTATTCTGTTTTGGTTCTGCTCAACTTGAAACCTTTAGACTCCAAAGTTCGTCTCCAAACCTCCAACCTCGCGTTAACTCCGCTTTGCGTCTCGCCAATCAACACTATATCATCGTCAAATAGCGTGCCCCAAGGCGTCTCCCATTGAATGTGTCGCGACATTACATCCATCGCCAAGGCAAATAAAAATGGGCTAAGAGCCGATCTCTGGTACAGCCCCATCACAACGGGGAAATGCTCTGAGTCACCTCAACAGTCCTCACCGGAGTCTTATCACCATCATACATATCCTTAATCACCCTAATGTACGCTACTGGAACACCGCTAGCCTCCAAACACCTCCACAAAACCTCACTCGAAACCTTATCGTACGTTTTCTCAAGGTCAATGAACACCATATGCAAGTCCTTCTCCACTAATGTCGTCACCAGATGAATCACTTTCGTAGTCGAACGCCCCGGAAAGAGATGTAATTTTCATATTTGCAAATAAACAATGCCTATTAAGTTGTCCGAATAAACTAAAAAAATGAATCGAACAAACCTTTCGAACAAACACTATATTACTCCCGCCGGTCCACAATAAGTGACCAATTTGCTTTTTTATTTTGGTTCAAAATAAGTGTCCATTTATATAATCAAGAAAAAATTCAATTTGCTTTTTCAAAATTACTCTTATGTACGTATCCCAAAAAAGTCATTTACTCCTCTCATTTGAGAAGAAAAGTAAGCAACATTTATTGAAGGGTAGTTTTGTCACACTAACTATTTTCGTCTAGAATTTAGTATTTCCTTAATGGGTGTGCCCAAACCAAATTGGTCACTTATTGCGGACCGGAGGAAGTAGTTATTACCAGGTGTACGTTAAAGGAAATTGTGGCACCTGCCACCTTTAAATCCTAGATCCGCCTCTGTATACGCTGTATGCAGATTTTGATTTTCACTCACTTCATTGAATGTTTAGCCACAACCTTCTTTTTTTCTCTTTTTTTTTTCCTTTTAGAAAATGAAACTTATACCTTAGAGCGGAATGTGTTTTTCTGTCTGTATACCACCAAGAATATATATATATATATATATATATATATAACTGGAAGAAATGAAAAATAGCCTTGTAAGTTTTAACAACTGACTTATGAATTGCAAGATCAGCATAAAAGGAAAGAAAGACAAGCGACTGGTTGATCTTGCTTTTTGTTTGAGAATAAAAGGAAAGAAAAATCTTTAAAGGAGAGAAATTCCAACTAATATAAAGACACTTAAGAAGGACGAAAACCATGTGAGTTTCAGCGGCTTGAATGGAGAGTAGCTAAGGATTGAAATAAAGAACATAAGTTAGTAGTAGAACCTAAAGACAGGACAATGGTATCTGAATAAAATAGACAGCACTGCTTCACTTTCGACAGCATCATATGCCCTGTTATCCGATTTTCTCTTTTTCTATTAATTTGATCTACCTTTTTCCTTTACACTTCTTTTTTCTGCTGCATACCATTTTGTAATCATCACTGAGATTATTTGCTTTATAGTGGGAGATAAGAATCTTTAAGGACCTCAGGCTATCAACTCACTTTTTGACTTCCCAATATATTATATTTTGCTATGTACTTCAAAAACAACAAAAAACTCTGACCAACCATGTATTGCAAATTCTATAAGTTTTTTTCCTAACAATAATTGAGAACACAACCTGGATCTTATTGCAGTGTACTTTTTTACTGCTTTGAGAAGTCATTTTCCAGTCAGACAAATATGCATGTAATAGTACATGTTTGATCATTTTGTCTTGAAATTGTATCTACTGGCACATCCACTATCAACATTTCAAAATCATAATCTCAATTGTTACAGAAAAAGAGCCAACTAAAAGGATAAGTGGCAAGTGATAATCATGAGATCCCCATATACTGAAAAACCCGGTGAAAAGGAATCCGCTAACCAAGAACAATAGAGAAGCAATTACAAAAGAAATGTAACTCAAATGGACATAATATGAAAGAGAGATTCGTTTTCAACATACAGCATAAATTTCTCTCTGAACAGATCAACCGGATTCTTTTTCGCCAGGATTACACATTGACAAAGCATATCTTACAATGTCTGATGAGGTTCATCCTGGCCTTCTGAAGGACATCTGATCATTTCCAAAATGTTAACCACTTCTGCCATATCAGGCCGGTTAGACGGGACTTGTGATGTGCAGATTAAACCCAACTTCATTATAGGAATCGCCTCCTCGACTGGAAATTTTCCATGCAGCCTCCCGTCAACACATTCTTCCACCTTGCCATCTTCTAATGCTCCCCTCACTATGTCACACAATACCATAACATCGTCCTCCATGTACTCGACTGGCTTCTTTCCCGTGACTACCTCCAGAACAAGAACTCCAAACCCATACACATCACACTTCTCAGTTATCTTCACAGTCTTGCATGCGAATTCTGGTGCCATGTAACCAAGTGCACTTTGAATTTTGCTGCTCAAGACATATCGATCTAACATTGGTAATAACCTTGCTAACCCATTATCCGCAACTTTAGGATCACCAGAGCTATCAATCAAAATATTGCTGGACTTTAGGTTGTAGTGAATTATGTTCATTTGATGCAAGTTAGCCAAGCCTTTTGCTGTCCCAAGAATAACGTTGAACCGCTCATTCCATGAGAGTAAATTTCCACTAGAACCTTCGTGGATATGCTCATACAAATTTCCACCAGCTACAAATTCGTATATAAGTAGCTGTAGGGAAGGTGTCCAATAATAACCTTGAAGGGCCACAAGATTAGGGTGACGGATCTTTCCCAATTTCTTAACCTCCTTTTCGAAGTCTTGTTGAGACTTAACAAGACCGGAGACAGTAAGCTTCTTAATGGCCACTGGCATCCCATCTGCGAGGACAGTGCGATAAACTGCTCCAAAACCACCACGTCCGAGCTCACAATCCTTGTTAAGTAGAGCATGTGACCCTGTGCTGAAGTCAAGTTCGCCTGAAAACATGACAAGCTTACCAGAATTTGCATCTGTACTGTGTGAGCCACTAAAGTCATCTCCACCATAAAATGTAAGGGCAGCAGCAGAGCGAGATGTAGCAGCCCGTACGTGAAGATTGAGCACAGTAATGGCAATAACACCAACAACAATAACAGCAGCTGCACTAATGGCAATGAGGGCAGAGATGCTTAAGATTTTTTTCTCATGGCCAAAAGTTGGAGGGATAGTACCAGGAATAGACTCTGTGGAGTTGGGATTCAGAACAATTGGCTTGGGAAGGACAGTAGGACAAGACCTATTAACAGCAGCCCCACAAAGAGACGGATTGGCTGACACAGAATAAGGAGAAATAGTGTTAAAAAAACCACCAGAAGGCAGTTCGCCCTTTAGCTGGTTGTGTGAGATGTTGAACGATAAGAGGTGACCAAGATTTACAAGCTGCTTTGGTAAGATTCCGGTTAATTTGTTAAAGGATAGGTCAACATTTTGAAGGTAAGTTAGTTTAGCTAGGGTTGCAGGTACAGGGCCAGTTAAACCATTATGTGATAGAGACCTGTCAAGTTTATTGAAACAAAACGATTAGCCAAGTTTTACAAAGAGTTGACACTAAGGGACTACTTTGCAAAAATTTAAAGGATAAATAACATAAAACATTGAAAAACAGGCAATGTGATGTTCCTACCTTTTGTACTTTGTATAAAATACTATCTGAAATCTCTCTATGAAGAAGGATATAATCTGAAATTAATAGAATTATTTGATGAACTCATTGTCGATGCAGGAAACTCTACACGATTGGTAGAAGCATAGAACTAACAAATTTCAGTATAACATGATTAAGAATCTCAAGTATGGACTTGAATTTGATCTTGACTCTAGAAATTCAACAAGCCAAAACAATGTTTTCTGTCAGGAAACAGAAAAAAGATGCAAATGCTAGTTCCTAAATTATCAAACTACATAATCAATTAGGTTGTAGTGAACAGTAACTTACCAACTACATTTTCCTTATAAGTCAAGCGGAGAGAGACTCTCAAATGAAGGTACAAATGAAGCATAAAGAAAACCAACAACTTACATGGACACCAATGTTGAACAGTTTCCAATAGAACTAGGAATTTCTCCCGTCAAGGCGTTATTCTCCAGCTTCAGTTCCCTGAGAGAATAGGCTCCTCCAAGTTCCAAAGGGATACTACCATTTAACCGATTCTCACTTAAGTCAAGAACATACAGTGACTTCAGTAGACCAACAGTGTGAGGAATGGCGCCTACAAGTGAATTTCTGGATATATTGAAGGACCGCAAGCTATTAAAATCTCCAATAGCAGATGGAATTTCGCCAGATAACTCATTGCAAGAGATATCGAGAGCTAGAAGCTTTTGGCGAGAGTTGTCCAGCGATGAAGCAAAAGCATTCTTTAAGCCCCCAGTTAACTTATTCTCGGAAAACAAAACTTGTCGCAATCCTAATTTGAATACCCAAGGAGGAAGACCACCAGTCAAAGAGTTATGACTAACATCCAAAGTCATAAGATTAACACAATTGCTCATGGACTCAGGCAAGTTTCCAGAAATAGCATTTTGCGACACGTTTAATAATTTCAATGATTGAAGCTTCCCTATTGAAGTCGGGAACTGATCAGAGAAGTTGTTCCTAGAAAGATCAAGTATTTCAAGGCTTTTCATTTCTCCAACCCATTCTGGTACAGTACCGACAAATGCATTGTTTTTCAAGATCAATTCATTACACAAGCTAAGCATCTGCATTGTTTCTGGAAGTTCTCCAGAGAGAGAATTTTCACTCAAATCAATTGACCTCAAAAGCAAACAACTCCCAATCCCATCAGGAACTTCACCAGTGAGTCGATTTTTCCTCAAACTTATGGCTCTCAAATTATACATACCTTCAATCCCAACTGGAATTTCACCATCCAGCAAATTATCTGACAGATCAAGTGACCTTAGCCCATTCAAAGACCAAATGCCAGAGGGTAACAATCCTGAAAACTGATTCGACGACAAGTTTAAAGACCCCAATGCCACACATGAGCTCAAACTTTCTGGAATCTTCCCTAAAAACTTATTCTTGGCCAATGAAATTGACCTCAAAGGCCCACATTGTCGAAAGAAATCACCCGGGATCGGCCCGAAAAAGTTGTTCTCACTCAAGTCAAGCACCCTCAGATTATCAAGCTGAACAACAGTGGCACTTATACTCCCTGTAAAATTGTTCTTCGCAAGCGAAAGCTTTCGAAGAAACTGTAACCTCAAAAGGCCTCTGCTTATCTTCCCTGAAAGACCAAAACCATCAAGAACAATTTGAGAGACCCTATTGGATCTTGGGTTGCATTTGATCCCATTCCAGTTACATGGGCTATCATCTTCTTCATTCCAAGACACTAACTTTCCATGTGGATCTTGAATATCAGCCTTGAATACCATTAACCCCAGTATATCATCATTGAAAGATAGGTTCACTGCTTTAACAAAAATGGGACATAAAATACACAAAAATATTACCGTAGCAATGACCTTCCTCATTTCCGTAAATACTCTCACTCAATAATCACAGAGAAATATGCAGCTCATAATCCCATTAGAAACCCCCAAATGGGTATATAGAAAAATAAGCAAAAGATACAAGCTTTATAAATAAAAAAAAGATATCAAAACAGATGAGGCATTAGAAAATTTCAGTGAACCAAATGTAGGATAATAAAATGTACAAATAATGACTGGAAGAAACAGTTGACTGAGAGTTGAATTTTTGGCTACAGAGAAGAAAGGGAATCTGAAGGAGCAGTTTTAACTTAGAATGGAAAAAGCTACGCACAGAATGTGAGTCGGGTTTTCACCGGAAATGTCAACCGCCTGTGATAATAGTGAAGTAAGGCTTAGTAATAATAAGTTAAAGAGGAGTACACCGGAAAAAGTGGGGAAGAAGTTTCCGGCGACGGAGAGTTAGTGGAGTATTTATTGAAGCTCTCTCTCTCTCTCTTACAGTCTCTTTAATTAACGGGAAAAAAGGGAGGGGGGAGAACAGAGAGAGATGAGGGGAGAGAGGTGCTTTTATTAAAGATGACACGTGGCATTGTATGGTCGGTTATGGAGAGTCTGATGTGGCATACACGTAGTCACTGTCAGAATCGCGATAAATGTGATTGTCTTGAAATTTAGGATGGCAGTAATTAAATTTTGAGAAAATGAAGTTCGGTGCACCTGTGTATGAACTCCAGCATATTATACTACACCGGAATACTTTGCTGGCTCCAGTATAATATATTGGAGTCTGGAGCACCGGTATAAGTACACTAGAACTCCAGCATAATATACTGGATTTCCAGCAAGTATACCGGTCCAGCATAATATACTGGAGTTTGGAGCACCGGTGCTCCAAACTCCAGTATATTATGCTGGACCGGTATACTTGCTGGAAATCCAGTATATTATGCTGGAGTTCTAGTGTACTTATGCTGGAGTTTCAGCATACTTATATTGGAACTCCAGTATAATATGTTGGAGTTCAAGTATACTTATGCTGGAACTCCAGCATAATTTACTGGCTTATTTTTCCGGATTTTGAACAGTGTTTTCGCTCAGATTTATCTTTACATGAAAAGTGGTTAAATTTCGATTACTTTTGAAACTGGGCTATTTTTGAATGACCAGTTGTAAATCTGGCTATTTTTTAATTTCACCCAATACTTTGAGGCTCACGTGTGGGGCCTAGTTCTATAAGGCTTGCGATTGTGCACCTGAAACACGTCTAACGCTCCCCGCTTGGGGCTCACCTAACAATTCTTAACGGAAATCATGCGTCAAATTTCCTAATTAGCACTGTTGACACTCAAAATTCATTAACAAATGAATAATTAAGATTTATTCGTCTATAGAAATATGTAGATTGAGAGTAACTCAAAATAATGAGTCATAATATTACATATTTACCCCTTCGGGGTAGGGGTAAGGTCTGCGTACACTACCCTCCCCAGACCCCACTTGTGGGATTTTACTGGGTTGTTGTTGTTATTACATATTTACTAATTATCGGAGAGTGAATATTATTTGAATATCCAAAATTTACATATTCACTTACTTTAAATATTCATATTTTAGTTCAATGCCTCCAATAGCAAACTTTTATTATTTTGCTATTTGAAATAATTTTTGTATTTACTCACGTGATTATGAGATAAACTATGCAGTTTGATAATATTTTTAAAAATATTGTGATTTTTTAATCATTTGAAAAGATAAGACATTACTGTTGGTTTTTATCTAGTAACTTTAACACTATTGCATTGCTTATATTTTAAAAAAAATGCTAATTGTGAGTTTTTTAAATCTTTTTAACTTTCTTATACTTTAATGTATTTTACATTTTCTTTATGGTTATTATGCTATTTTATTAATTATACATTAAAATTGTAAAGAATCATGGGACTCACGCCCATATTTTGGGGCTTACTCTTCGCCCTACGTCAAGTAAAGCGTTCTGTCTTATGTCTCCGCCTTTTAAAACATTGTAATAAAGAAGGACCACATAAAGTCCTGATTTAAAGGAACAAAAATTATTGCTGTTTAAAGAAAAAAAAAATTGGGATCGAAAGTAGTATTTTTATGATTAAAAGTGCTTTTCTCTAAAGTTCTTGTGTTTGGTTAAGGTTTTAGAAGTAAAAAAATAATAGAAGCAGAAGTCTATTTTGAGAAATAGATAAAATAATTTCTACTGCATTTTTCTAAAAAATACTTTTGAGAAAATAAATTTAAAATATTAAAAGTTTGGTCAAACACTAATTACTACTCAAAAGTACTTTCCAAATTAATTAGTCAAACTTTTCAAATTAATTAGTCAAACTCATCAAAAATACTTTTAAAATAATCTAATTTTAGATATTTAGCCGAACAAGCTATTAGTCCCTTTGACTATTCGCCGGGGACATCACTAAAACGGATAAATGAGTCAGCGACTTATGAAGCATGAGAAATTTGGAGACAAGACATATAGTATCCATCATTATAACTTGAAACAGAAGTCAAACAAATTCTTCTTTCACTATTATTTGTCCAAATATTTTCTAAGTCTTTTAACTATAACGAATTACTTAATATTTACTTTATGTAATTCGTGAATGTATTCTTTCTTTTTCACTCGTTTTTTTGGGTTCTTTTTCACTCTTAAACGTATTTATTCTATTTATATTTTTTGTAAAGCTCGATGTTTGAATTCATACCTACAGTTAAATGTGTTAATCCTAGTTAGGGGTATATAGGTCGGGTTGGTTCGGATTTTGCAATTATCAAACCAAATCAATTGTGTCGGGTTATTAAATCTAAAAACCAAACCAACCAATAAAACTCGGGTTTTTCAATCTCGGTTTTTCTCGGGTTTTCGATTTATTCGGGGGTTTTCGGGTTTTTCTCCGGTAAAATCTTCGTAGAACAAAGCATATAACTTATGCTCAAAATATTTCTTTAATTCTAGTAAGATACAACTATATAAGGTATTTTTCAAGAAAATAAGACAAAATATGAGATGTGCCATGGCATTAGCCTAAAATATTCAACAATAAAGACAATAAAATTATGTAATATAAATACCTAATTAAAAAGTCATAATAAAAATAAACATAATCTAAAAGTACTAAGTCTTGCTAAAATAAGTAGACTAATAAGGGAGTATTAATTACATGACTAAATACTAAAGAAAAAATAAAAATAGGTTATTCATTTTTATCTAAATTATTGCAAAACAAGAAATAGATATTCAATACATTGCTGTTTGTAGTATTGAATTGAACGTCTTTTGTTAGCATTAGTATTGATTTGATTTTGGTTTGGGCTTTTGTTGGCATTATTTAAGTTACTAATATTAATGGCTATAAAACTTATTGGAACGTTCACAAGTTCTAAGTCCAACCTTGAAATAATACCTTAAAAGATAAAATTATAAAAAAATTAAGAAATATTTATAAATTACATCACAATAAGTATATTTATATATTAAATATGTCTAAATTTCTATATATGTAAACGGGTTGGTTTGGTTTCGATTTGACTCTCTTTAGTTAAAACCAAACCAAACCAGCTATGATCGGGTTTTTTTTCCAACACCAAACCAAATCAAACCAAATCATAGTCGGGTTTTTTCTCGGTTTGACTCGGGTTATCTGGTTGGTACGATTTGTCAGTTTACTTTGTACGACCCTAAACCTGGTACACCCTAGTACCCTCGTTATCGTTTGTGGTATGACAGGATTAATACATTTTAATATGTAATTAATTAGTTGCCAAATTTCGTGTACTATAATTTAATCAGTTTTCACTTCAAAACACAAAAGACCAGTAAGATTGAAGTGGGCCAAATAAAAGTCAAACGCCGCGACGATAGCCGCTCGAGTATTAACGGCGTTAAAAAATGTTAAAGGGCAAACTAACAAAAGCGTAGGACAAAAGCTGGAATGCCGTTATGTCAATTTTCCTTTTGATTGTCTCTGTTGCGAAAATGAGAGATTTTTTTAACGATATTCAATGCAATAATAGTGGTAATAGAGTACACCAAAGTATGGACTAGTAGGTGAAAAATATATAATATATTCCAAACAGAAGGCCAGGTAAGGTCAATTCACTATAGACCAGTACTGTGGACTTCCTTTTATGGTCGCAAAAGGGTTGGACTTTGGAGGAGTGCAGTTCATAGCTCGTCTTCCCACGTCTATCTACCATTCCCTACTATACTCCTTGAAGATTAAATTAATCTCAAGCAGAATATACGAGGTGGCTTAAGATGCAGGAAGATATTCTCAAACAAAAGGCTAGAATTAGTTGGGCTGAGGAGGGCGATTTCAATTCTAAATATTTTTATAGTGTGATCAAAGAAAAAAGGAGAAGATCTCAGATATACAGAATTAAGAACAATCAAGGAAGGTGGATAGAGGGGAATCAAGCAATCTCTGATTCGGCTATTAATCACTTTAGTAACATTTTCTCCCATTCCCACAGTGACAATAATTTATCTATCCTGGACTGTGTGGAACCACTGGTTACTGAGGAGGACAACCACACTTTATATGAGGTCCCTGAAGAAGCAGAGACTAAAAATGCAATTTACTCAATTTATAGGCCAAAATCTGCCCTAAGAAAATTTAGCATAAAGCGACATTAAGGAAAGGGTCGGTCGAGGTCGACCAGGAAGCAGTGAGATTTGCGGCCGGGCTGTCAACAACGACCGATTTCGAGCACCAAGGATAGGACAATAACGGCTAGTTTTTGTAATAGGATATTAAAGAGAATATTCTATTCTGCACTTGTACTATTAGGAATTGTTAGGGACATGTCTCATATAAATAGAAAAAGAGATAATGGTGTAAAGGGGGTAATATTCACTTGGTAAGAACACTTTTTAGAAGAATATTCTTTCTCTCTACCAAATATACAAACTTTACCTTTTCATCAAGATTCTTACTCACATTATGCCATACTTTTCCACCAGATCCTAGAATAGTTCAAACATTCTAGGATTTGTCGGTCATTCATCATTGTCAGGAGGAACAATCATCTATCTCGTTCATTATTGGGTGAATCATTCTCCCTATGTACATAAATGTCACTTATTGTTATTATTGCTAGTTATTCCTCCATTATTGCTCACACTTTTTGGAATATTAAATGTGCGTTACTTTCAATCTCCCGCTGACTTTATCCTATCTTATCCATGCTGTCAAGTTCTATATCTAGAGATATTATCATTAGCTAAGTTTAACCCCTTATTACATAAAATTTGATAGTTTAACCGAGAGTTCAAATAATTTGGCGCCGTCTGTGGGGATTTCCTAGTAAAATTTTTAGTTTCCTCTAGATCTACAACTAACATGGATTGCTAACAAAAACAAAAACCCGAGAACAAAATTCCCTTTCCTTGTACGCGCAGATCTGATATGGCAGGTAACAGAGAAGAAAGAACGAGGATAGTGGGTGACCTCACGACCAACCTCTTGAACACTATCAATGAGATTTCTGAGGCAG